TCGATCTTAGTGACAAGTTGAAGAAAACAACTCGAAGAGGCATTTCACTCTTGGATCGAGTTATGCTTACTCGACCAGAGTGGGGGGGACTAGATGATATAGGATATTATATTGGACCCGGTTAAATGGATAAAACGGATACATTTTGGAAGATAAGCCCACTAAGACGTCCAAGCCCCAACATTATGGGCCAAGCTCATCTTGAGCCCACAAAGGTACACTCCCCCTATAAAAGGGGGGCCAAGGTACCTCATTATCATTCTCTGCTCATTCATTTACTACACACTTTATCTCTCTTTTGATCTGAGCACTGACTTAGGCATCGGAGGCCCGACGCCGGGGCCACCCGGCGTTGGGTTCTGCAGGCACGGAGGCCGGTTCGAGTTGAAGGAGCCCAGGTGAATCTTATTCACTTCAACATTAAATTTAATGATAGACAAAAATTAGGAGCTATGCACGGTTTCCTAACATACATGAAACAATGTATTCATTATTCTCAAATTTAATACTAAGTGGAAATTTAATGCAAAATTTAAGAAAAGATTAGTTATCAAATAATGTGCAAACATTTAATGTAGATTTTGAGCGGGAATTTGGCAGCTGCTCCGCTTAAATATATATATATATATATATATATATAGATATAGATGTTCAAGATCGAGAATACTGGTACTTCTTACTATGAACTGATCGAAATTCGACGGACATAATTTCATTATGCAGAGTATTTAAGACGAAAAATGGGAAATGAGGGTTTAATTTCCACCGCCTTGGGTGATTTCACCTCGCACACTCGACACTTCTTCAATCTGTCGGGAATTATCGTAATTCTTCCTCATAGCATCATTATGTTTTGTTTCAATTTCATTATTTAAGTTGCTCTTGTGTTTAATTTGTTTAAATGTTTGATTGTCGAAACCCCTAACTTAGAATTGGATCTACGGTGTTAAGGGGAAGGGGACCTCGTTCTGAGGGATCTCATAGTCAACCTCCATCTTTTACTGAGAAGGTGGCCTATGATCTGGACAGCATGTGGCACGGAATCGAAGGAAGATCGCGTTGACCAGGTTGATGTGAATATGCATACCAATCTCATTTGTTTTCATATTATTACTTAAATTGTGTGTTAGATTATTCCTTGTTATGAATTATTGAAGATAATTGTTTTTTCCGATTATTATTCAATTAAGTTGGTATATGAACCAAATGAAAGGTCGATTATTTTTTATTAATAATAAAATAAATTGCGTGATGTTAATATTGGTGCTGCTGCATGTCGATTTTGGTTGAAAACTCAACATTATATGTTTGAACAGAGCCGATCGACAAAATTGCTGGCTAATATTCGCACTATCTTTTGACAAATAGATAGCATATAGGAGTGTTATGGCAAAGCCGACATGGAAGATATTCTTGCAATACTGAAAGATAAATCTGTGTTTGACAGAGTTTAAACATAATATCCCTATCAGTGTAACGACATTTTTTAATGGAGAGAATAAAATCAAAACTGATTTTGCAATTAATGCTCATTTGTTAACAAAATCTGAACAAAATATTAACGCATGAATTTATTTTATTCCTTAATTTTGTGATAATTAATTTTACATGTGGGACAGCCATGTTTATTTTTTTTTTTTTTTGTTATTTTTTTGGTGTCCATATATATTTCTTAAAGTAGTAACTATTACTTAAAGTAGTAAGTCAAAGCATTATTTTTTTATAGTCAACCTTACTATTTTTGTATTTTTTCAACAACCCCTTTATATTACTATAGATTAGCATGTTAAATAAAAGTGAAAAATATTAATCGGTTTATTTTATTTCCTTTTATTAATCCATCAAATTTTATAACATCGGGTGTATATATCGTGATTGTGTGAATTAT